TGGGAGACCAAGCAGCAAGACACCAGTTTTAGGGACAGGTAACATGGACAGGTAACATGGACAGGTAACATGGACAGGTAACATGGACAGGTCCCCCGACAGGTCCCCAGGAAATCTAATATTACACATATATAATATTACTTGCATTATTCCTGCTTTGATTTCGCCTGGTCTGACCAACGCTGTGCCGTATTTCCCCGGTGCACCTCGGATCCTGGGCCAAGGTAGGGTAGGAGACATGGGTAATCGCCAGTGGGAATAGAGAGGAGGTAGGAGATGCAACAGAGAATGACCTTTGAGAGCCGCAGCGAAGAAGCTGATCTTATCAGTTTCCAACCTCTACTTTGGACATGAAGGAGTTTGTCCCCCTTGCTGTCCTGTCTTTTATCCATTTCCCCAGACCTGTTGGAAACATGCGATCGCGCACCGCTGGCCGTGCAGGTATTGGCCCTAATTGGCCCCGTTCAGAATGCATCCCATGGAAGCTGGCGAGGGCGATGAGCACCCAGTATGACAGGACAAATGGGACACTTCTTGGGAGCACGTTTGTGGGATGGATTCCACTCTGAGAAACAGGCGGCATGGATGTGTCCGGCGTCCATGAAAAAGAGGCGCCCCCTAGCTGCAGTTTGTGTTAGTGAATTTGTCTGCCAGTGAAGGTTTACAGCGTGTCAGTATCTACCGCCCAAGCTAATGACGTGCCAGCTGGCTCCGTTTACAGAGCTGGAGTGTAAAAGGGGCCAGCTGGGGCTTGGGGGGGGGGGCTGACAGAGGGGGGTTCGGGTTAAGCCAGAGATGTAAATAGACTGGCTCTTAGCTTATATGCCGCTTTGCTGTTTTACTGTGGATTGCAGTGCGCTGTGTTTATTTTGTTAATGGCATTTACTTTCTGGTTTTTTTTGGACATTTTTATGGATGTGCTTCTGTGCTTATTAATAATAAAGCTTCAGTTTAAAGTCCTGCCATTTCTGAAATACCACGGACTGTGTGTGAACGTGTGTGTGTGTGTGTGTATGTGTGTGTTTGTAGGGTGTTGCTAAAGAATTTGGGCCCCTTGAAAGCATATCAAATTGGGCCCCCCAGTCCAGACCAATCCAGTTATTTTCCACATTTTTTAGGGCCCCTTGTCTTACCGAATGTTCCCCACAATGTAATAAAAACCTGTTTCTTTGACGTTGTAGGGACCATTTTACAGGTGCCCACAAAGATCTGTGAATGCAATCAAAAAAGTGTAAAAATGCCAAAAATCTTGTATCTTGTTTGTTTACTTATGGGTAAGGTTAGGGCTGGGTAGGGTTAAGGTCATCATATTGGGATTAGAGTTTTCCCCATGGAAATGGAGTCCCCACAAAGATATAATTTCCAACCTGTGTGTGTTTTTCTCCATTTGCATGCCTTTCTGTGCGTTATGTTTACCCGTCTGTTCATTTACGTTTCCTCTGTTTGTGCCGGGCTGTTTACTGTGCTTCTTCGTGTGTGTGAGCGTGCAGGTGCACGTTTCTTTGTGTGCGTGTGTGTGTGTGTGTGTGTGTGTGCGTGAGACCACACCCTTCCTTCATGTGATGCCTGGTCAGCTGGCCGCAGCCACACCAAGCTATCTCAGCTGACTTTAGCGGAGAAGTTAAGGTGCAGTGGAAGGGTCAGGGACCAGGCCTCCAGCTCTGCTCTCATTTTGGGTGTTGGGTTCCCCACTGCGTTCTCTCTCAGCTGAAGAACACCGCGTGGGGGAACTTAGCCGCAATGTCAGATTGCAGTATGAGGGGTGGGAGGACCGGACTGCAGGTGTCTGTGTGTGTGTCTGACTGTGTGTCTGTCTGAGTGTCTGACTGTCTGTGTGTGTGTCTGTCTGTGTGTCTGACTGTGTGTCTGTCTGAGTGTCTGACTGTCTGTGTGTGTGTCTGTCTGTGTGTCCGCCTGTGTGTGTCTGCCTGTGT